ATGGAAACCACAAACACACAGCATAGTAAAGAAGTGGAAACCATGAAAGAAATTCAAACAGGTATCCAGGAGATTAAAAACTCCATTGAAAGTATATGCTGCAGAATGAGCCAATGTGAGGACAGAACATCAGATATAGAAGAGAGGATTATGGTTAGCAATCATGAAAAGAAAGATCTCTTAAAAATATCAAGGGACCATGAGAAATCAATCCAGCAGTTGCTAGATGATGCAAAGAATAACATAAGATTGATCAGAGTCAATGAAAAAGTAGGTGACAGTGCAAATGACATAAAAAACCTGTCCACAGAAGTAATGGCAGAAAACTCCACAAACAAGGGAAAAAAATTAACATACAGATATGTGAGGCATATAGGACTCCAATTAGCCATGATAAAAAAAAATCTTCCCCAAGACATATAATAGTCAAGATTCCAGAAATACAACACAAGGACAGAATATTAAAAAACTGTTAGAGAAAAGAACTAAATCACCTATAAAGGAAAGCTCATCAGTATCAGCAATTCTCAAGACAAACCCTCAAGTCAAGGAGAGCTTGGAATAAAGTATTTCAAGCCCTAAAGGAAAAAGTTCACCAATCCAGATTGATGTACCCCTCAAAACTATCTTTTGAAATTGATGGAGAAATAAGATACTTCCATGACAAAGAACACCTGAAGAAATTCATGACTGCCAAACCAGCACTCTGAAGTGTTCCAAAGGATATACTAAAAAGAAATAAGAAGGATTACAACTCCTTGAACCCCAAGAGAATGAATCCACCAGGCAAGGCAAGAAATTAAACAGAAAAGGAAAGAAGGAAACCAATAACAGGAAAATAACATGATAGAGATAAGACAATACATATCAGTTATAACCATCAATGTTAATGGTCTCAATTCACCAATCAAAAGAAACAGACTGGCAGAATGTATCAAGACAGAAGATCCAAAATTATGCTGCACACAAGAAACACATTTAATTCAAAAAGAAATTCATAGACTAAAAGTCAAAGGATAGAAAACAATATTCCATGTGACAGGAACCCAGAAAAAAGCAGGGGTTTCTATTCTATTTGCAGCCAACATGGATTTCAAGCCAAGACTGATTAAGAGAGACAAAGAAGGTCACTACATTCTTGTAAAAGGAACAATCCAAGAGGAAGTGATAACAATCATAAATATATATGCACCAAGTAGCAGTGCACCCAACTATATAAAACAAATATTAACAGACATCAAAAATCATATAAGCACTCATACAGTTGTTATGAGAGACCTCAATTCCCTACAATCACAAATAGACAGATCAACTAGACAAAAAATCAACAATGAAATACTAGAACTGAAGCAAACTTTTGAACAAATGGACCTAGTAGATGTCTACAGAGTGTTACATTCTACAACATCAGAATACACATTCTTCTCAGCTGCACATGGGACATTCTCCAAAATAGACCACATACTAGCTTGTAGAAAGTATGTAAATGCAAAAGAATTGAAATTATCTCATGCATATTATCATACCATAGTCAATGAAATTGGAAATCAATGGCAAAAGAAAGCACAAGAACTTCATAAACACATGGAAATTAAATAATACCCTCCTGAACAACCAGTGGGTCACAGATGAAATTAAAGAAGAAATCAGACAGTTTCTACAATTAAATGATAAGGACAATATAACATACCAGAACTTATGGGATGCAATGAAAGCAGTCCTACGAGGGAAATTTATAGCGGTGAATACCCATATCAGTAAAATAGAGCAGGTTCAAATAAACAACCTAATGTTGAACCTCAAGCTCCTAGAAAAAGAAGAGCAAGTCAAGCCCAAAGCTCGTACGAGGGAGGAAATTATAAAAATCAGAGCAGAAATTAATGCAAGACTAAGGTTAATAAAGACTAAGAAAACAATACAAAGAATCAATGAACCAAAGAGTTGGTTCTTTGAAAGATTAAATAAAACTGACAAACCTTTAGCAACTCTTAGCAAAAAAAGGAAAGAAAAGACTCAAATTCATGCAATTAGGAATGAAAAGGGTGAAATCACAATAGATCCTGCAGAAATCCAGAAGATCATCAATACCTATTTCAAGAAATGGTATTCTAGTAAGATGGAAAATACAGAAGAAATGGATAGATTCCTAGATACATATTAACTACCAAAGCTGAATAAAAAAGGTATAAAAATTCTAAATAAACCAATAACAGCCGATGAAATTGAAGATGTAATTAAAAACCTACCAACAAAGAAAATCCCAGGCCCTGATGGATTCACTGATGAATTCTACAAGAAATTTAGAGAAGACCTAATGTCACTACTTCTAAAACTCTTTAATGAAATTGAAGAGGACGCAATAACCCCAAATTCATTCCTGGAAGCAAGCATTATCTTGATTCCCAAACCAGAGAAGAATCCAACCAAAAAAAGAGAATTACAGGACAATCTCCCTAATGAACATAGATGCAAAAATCCTCAATAGGATACTGGCAAACAGAATGCAGCAAGTCATCAAGAAGGTCATATGCTGGATTCATCCCAGTGATGCAGGGATGGTTCAACATATGCAAATAAATAAATGTACTACACTATATTAACTGAACCATATGATCCTCTCAATAAATGCAGAAAAAGCATTTCATGAGGTCCAACACCCATCCATGATAAAAATCCTACAGAAAATGATATAGATAGTCTTTATTTCAATCTGATAAAAGCTATCTATGACAAACCAACAGCCAACATCATACTAAATGGACAAAAACTGAGAGCTTTTGCTCTAAAATCAGGAACAAAACAAGGATGTCCACTGTCACCACTCTTGTTCAATATCGTTCTGGAAACACTAGCCAGAACAATTAGACAAGAGAAAGAAATAAATGAAATAAGGATAGGAAAGGAAGAAGTTAAATTATCATTATTTGCAGGTGACATAATACTCTACATAGAAGTCCCCAAAAACTCCACCAAAAGACTTATAGATTTGATAATCAAATTCAGTGATGTAGCTGGTTACAAAGTCAACACTCAAAAATCAGTAGCCTTCCTATACACAAATAATGAATTCACTGAGAGTGAAATTAGGAAAACAACACCTTTCACAATAGCATCCAAAAAATGGAATACCTAGAAATCAATCTAACACAGGAAGTAAAAGACTTCTATATTGAAAATTACAGTATTCTGAAAAAGGAGATGAAAGAGGATATGAGAAAATGCAGATATCCCTTGTACTCAGATAGGAAGAACCAATATTGTGAAAATGCCCATATTTCCAAATTGTTATACAGATTTAATGCAATCTCAATCAAAATTATAAAAGCATATCTCACAGAATTAGAAAAAAAATCCTAAAACTCATTTGGAACCTGAAGAGACCTAGAATAGCAAAGGCAATTCTGGGCAGCAAAGGCAAGGCAGGGGTATCACAATCCCTGACCTGAAATTATAGTACAAAGCTACTGTGATTTAAAAAAAAAACAGCATGGTACTGGCAAAAGAAGAGACCTGAGGATCAGTGGAACAGACTAGAGGATGCAGAAACAACTCCAGACATACTCAGCCACCTTAGTTTTGATGAAGGAGCCAAACACCTTCACTGGAAGAAAGACAGCCTCTTTAATAAATGCTGCTGGAAAAACTGGCTTTCCACATGCCAAAGATTGAAACTAGGCCCATATCTTTCACCATGCAGTAACCTCAAATCGAGATGGATCAAAGATCTAAATATTAAAACAGAAACACTAAATCTGCTGTAAGAGAGAATAGGTAGAATGCTTGAGGACTTAAGAGTAGGCAAAGACTTCATGAACAAAACCCAGACTGCATGGGAAATACTACAAAGAATCAACAACTGGGAGGTCATCTTATTAAAAAGCTTTTGCACAGCAAGAAAAACCACCAACAGAATGAAGAGACAACCCACAATGTGGGAAAAAATGTTTACCAGCTACTCATCAGAGAAAGGACTACTATGTAGAACACATAAAGAACTCAAAAAAATCAGACCCCTCAAATTTAAAGACCCAATCCAAAAATGGGCATCTGAAATGAAAAGACACTTCTCAGATGAAGAAACAGCAAATATATGAAAAAATGTTCAACATCACTGATCATTCAAGAAATGCAAATTAAAACAATGCCGAGATTCCATCTCAGTTCAGAAAGAATGGCTATTAACACTGAGATTCCACCTCACCCCAGAAAGAATGGCTGCTATCAAGAAATTAACCAATAAGAAATGCTGGCAGGGCTGTGGGAAAAAAGGAACCCTTCTCCACTGTTGGTGGAAGTGTAGACTGGTACAACCACTGTGGAAATCTGTGTGGAGATTTCTTCTTCTTCTTTTTTTTTTTTTGCACAGCAAATAGACATAATCTTGAAGATTTTTAAAGAATAAATATTTTTTGTAATTAAACATTATGCAAACACGTGCCATGCTTGCTTTGTCCATGCATATGCGCTATATACAATTTTGAAAAATACTGTGTTGTCCTCTTGTTTTAAAAGTCATATACAAAGTGTGTGCATGTATGTGTGTGTGTGTGTGTGTTGTTTAATCCTCTTTCTGCCTATCCCCTTCCCCATCCCGAGAATTCTGACCTGGGCCGTCCCATCTGTGGGTGTGTGCCTGTGTGTGGGGGAGGGGAAAAGGGCCTTTACCAAAGTACAGCAAGTGGCTGGTTTGGACATGAAGAGCAAGGTCAAGGAGCTGTGTCGAATTTTAACTGTACTACACTCAGGAAAAAAAAGAAAAAAGAAAAAAGAAAAAGGAGTCAGCTTTGAGAATGAAGCTACGTTACAAGTTAAAGTTGGAGGGCTTTTAGTGTGTCTGTCACACTTTTGTTGGCGGCTTAGAATACTGTTGTACAATGGTTTATCTACCACTTTTATTACAATATAATTTACTTAAACTTTCTGTCAACAAAACAGAATCCTGGAACTACAGACCAGTGGTGTCAGAACAGGCTTAGTGCCTTCTTGTTTGTGTTTGTGTTTGTTTTTTGTTTTAATTGCATGAGCACTCCAGATGGTAAAGTTTTCAGAGTTCATTTTATGCAGGGTCATTCTCAGGCCTCAATGTACTCCCACAGATCTTTATCATAGCCTTCATGCACATGCTGTAATAAAACCCTTCATCGACTCTCACAGTATCTGTACTTATCTTGTACTCTGCTTTATATCCTGCAGAGAATCTTGGGAAATATCTCGTTCAAGGTAGCCTGAAAGCACCTCTGTGGCATTCTCTAGATCTGCTTGGTTATTCTCAAAGATAAGGGACTGGTTATTGTTTTTGAGGTAGAAAGTGAAGACGTAAGTGTACATGAGTGTAGCACGGCACTGGCAGAGAACATCGACTGCTTTCTTCAGGAATTGCACCTCAATCCAGGAGATGTTGTGCTGCTGCATCTCCTCCATTTTCTGCTTCACTTGAGCATAAAGTTTGTGCTCGAAGCGAAGACTCTGCATGTGGTTCATATAGCGATTACAGTAGACCAGGTACCTCTGCAGGGCTGCCCTGGATCACTCCTGTGCATCTCTCGCTGCCTTGGCGTCATCCTCATTGTAGTGGTTACAGTTGTACCAGGCAGATCCATGTGGTTCCCAAGGGCCAAGACACACCCAGCAAAACTCTGCTTTACAGTTCTGGTTATGACAGACCATGTGATTACAACCGCCATCCTTTTCAATTGTGACATGGCATTTGGGACATTCCTTTGTGTTGGCTGCAATCCAATTGGAGGTTTTGCTGTCATCATCACACTTTTTAATCCACTTCTTTAACCACTTACATTTAACAGGATCATGCCAATTTTCTTGTGTGGGGATTTCTGAAGAAACTAAAACTAGAGGTTCCATTTGATCCAGCTATCACCCTTCTAGGTATCTTCCTGAAAGAGTTAAAAGCATCATACCTCAGTGATATATGCATATCCATGTTTATAGCAGCACAATTTATAACAGCTAAATCTTGGAAACTGCCTATATGCCCATCAATAGATGAACAGATAAAGGAAATGTAGTTTTTAGATATAATGGAGTACTGCTCTGCCATAAAGAAGGATAAATTTGAGTCATTTGTAGGAAAATGGATGCACCTAAAGACCATAATCTTAAGTGAAATAAATCAGACATACAAGTTTAAATATCACATTCTTTCTCTTGTGTGAGAAACTCAACGTGTAAATAAGGAGCATAATGGAGGATAAATATTGGAAAGTAGGAAGAACATGTTCGAATGGGGAGAGGAACAAAGAAGAGGAAGGGAAAAAAGAGGAAAGGGGAAAAAAGAGAATGGAAGGAAAAGAATGGTAACAAATCTTTGTAAAGGGGGAACAGATGAAGGGTTGAAGGGAGGGGAGGAGAATGGGAAAAAAAGAATTAAGATATAGGTGGGGGACATTGACAAATGGACCCAAGATGGCATAGAAAGTAATGACAGGAATTGGATGAAGTCATTGATCACTAATAAACTACAGTGCTGGTGAAATGTGTAAGAAATTAGAATGAGCTCTGACCAGCTATTTGGGTGATACCCAGTGCCATGAACTGCAGGATTTCTGTCCCTGAGTCATGGAAAGCAGAAGAGCTGAAAAGTCATGTGAACAAGAATGTGAGTTGCTGAAGAGGCAACTCAAGCACAGCACTGAGGCTCTCCTTTGTCTTGGCCAATACTCCATGGCCAACTTCAAAGGGCTGTGTCCACTGGAGATAGAACGCATCAAAATCAAGAGTCACTTCTTTTTTGGGGGCATACCAGGGATCAAACTCGGGACCTTGTGTGAGGCAGGCAGTGGCACCACTGAGCTAAATCCCTGGCCCTAGAATCGTCTCATTTTTGCAACTGAAAAACTATGGGCTAGGTGATGAAGATTGTAGGCATGGTATGCTTAAAAACTGGACTCTTTTCTGATTTGAAGATTTTGAATTATTTAATTGAGCAGTGTTTAAGGTTTGATTTTTTTTATTTGCTGATTTCAAAAGTAATTATAATATTAAAAGTTCCTACCTTACTGTGATACCTAATGGTACCTAATGACTGATTAGGTTGATATCTTTCCTGCTAAGACAGGAGTACAGGTGTACATTGTTCTATTCACAAATATTGATGTTCCTGTCACCCCCCGGGGAACATTAACAGTATATTCTTTTTATAGTTTGTGTGTTTCTAATCAATAAGAACCCACATTTAAGAAATGTAGCATACATTAATTAAAATATTAAGTTTGAATAGATTCAGAATTAAGGCCTACTCTCCTAAAAAAAGAGAGATTACATAGAAGTACAAATTCCCTATGATGAATGTGATCACTATGCATGGCAAATATGTACTAATAAAAATTTTTAAAATGTTGGAATGCATGTATCATACTGTACATAATCTTTGGCAATTTACATTTTTTCACTTAGTAACTCCATACTGTTAAGCATCACTATAGTTAATTTTGCTCCCAGATCTGGCACCATGCTACTTCTACCTCTTCCCCAAACTCAAAATGACCATGAAAGGTAAACAGTTTTAAGTGATTCAGGACATTGAGGTAACCACAACAGCACAACTAAAGATATGAAACAGTACCTCCAGAACTGCTTTATAAAGTGGCAAGAACAATGGAGTAAGTTTATTCAAAGTGAGAGTGAAATTTTGTCTTTGCTATAATAAATATTTTAAAATGTAAACATTCACCACATTTTTCATCATATATATATATGTACCCAACACTCATCTGCAATAGTTATCTACATTCGGTCTGTTTTGTTTTTTCACTCCTCCACTCCTCATCATATTCCAGCCCCTTGGTTGAGTATTTAAAAACCAAAACTATACTTCAAATAATTTCACCTATGTACCTCTACCACATAAGGATGCCTTTCTTTTCATTTTTTTTGTCTCCCTCTTCCTCCTTTTCTTTTTATTTGTTCCCCATTAAGTTTATTGGTACATTTTAGGTATAAAATACATTTACATACATCATTGGGATCTTGTACATTTACGTGAATATCTTGGATCTTATTTTTTTTCCCCTTCCCTGCCCTCCCCTCACCCCCTCCACCCTTCCCTATTTGCAAAGATTTTGTTTCCATTTTTTCCCTTTTCTCATATTTTTCCCTTCTTTCCTTTTCCCTACCTCTCCCACTTCCCCTGCCTCTTTAGAGCTTTACTTCCTATCACACAATATCAATTATACATTTTTAAAATTAAAATATCAAGACCTAGGAGACATTACCACAGATTTTACAGAATTTAAAACGATATAGAAAACATATTTCAAAAATCTGTTTTGAAATAAATTTGACAACTTCTAAGAAGTACCTTGGAAGACAAATTAATGAAACTAACT